TATGCGCAGCCCCCCCCAGAACCCCATTAACTTTGCATCGGTCGTTGAACGGTTCACTCTATCTCTCTCTCTCTTTCTCCCTCTCTCTCTCTCTGTACCTCTCTCTGGTTCACAGGAGGAGGAGGAGGAGGAGGAGGAGGAGGAGGAGGAGGAGGAGGGGGGAGACATAAACGGAGGGGGACAGAGGAAGAGAGCGAGTGAGAGAGAAAGAGAGAGAGAGAGAGGGAGAAACATCTCTCTTTCCCTCTCACACACTTTCTCCCTGCGTATAGAAGGAGGAGGGGGAAGAGGGGGAAAAGGGGGGAGACAGAGACGGAGGGGGACACAGAGAGAGAGAGGGGGAGAGACGCGAGGGAGCGGCGATCCCTGTGAAATCACAATGTTTGCGAAGCCTGGGGGCACCAAACCGTGTTATTTCATTGGGATGTTTGGGATTTCTGTGTCAAGAATCCCAGAACCTCTGTGATTTTATTTGGAGTTGTTGGATTTTTTTGATGTTCAATCCTCCAGTCCTGGGGAGCCCCGTCGTCGTTTGTTTTTTTTCCCTGGGTCTGAAAATCCCAAAAATCCAAATGAAATCACAAGGGTTCTGGGATTGTTGACTCAGAAATCACACAAATCCCAATGAACTAGCAGGGTGTGGTGCCCCCAGGCTTCGCAAACATCGTGATTTCACAGGGATCGCTGCTCCCTCGAGTCTCCCCCCCCCTCTCTCTATTTCTCGTTCGGTCTCTCTCTCTCTCTCTCTCTCTCCCTCACTCTCTCTCTCTCTCTCTCTCTCTGCTTCAGAGAAGGGGGAGGAGGAGGAGGAGGAGGAGGAGGAGGAGGAGGAGGAGGAGGAGGAGGAGGAGGAGGAGGAGGAGGGGGGAGACAGAGACGGATCGGGACAGCGAGAGAGAGAGAGAGGGAGAGAGACTGGAGGGAGCGGCCATCCCTGTGAAATCACAATGTGTGCGAAGCATGGGGGCACCAAACCTTGTTATTTCATTGGGATGTTTGGGATTTCTGGGTCAAGAATCCCAGAACCCTTGTGATTTCATTTGGATTTTTTTGGATTTTGGGGATTTTCAGTCCCAGAGAAAAAAAGCGACGACGGGGCTCCCCAGGACTGGAGGATTGAACATCCCAAAAATCCAAATGAAATCACATGGGTTCTGGGATTCTTGACACACATCCCACAAATCCCAATGAACTCTCTCTCTCTCTCTCCCTCCCTCCCTCCCTCCCTCACACACACACACTCTCTCTCTCTCTCTCTCTGCTTCAGAGAAGAAGGAGGAGGAGGAGGAGAAGGAGGAGGAGGAGGAGGAGGAGGAGGAGGAGGCGGGGGGAGACAGAGACGGAGGGGGACAGCGAGAGAGAGAGAGAGGGAGAGACTCGAGGGAGCGGCGATCCTTGTGAAATCACAATGTTTGCGAAGCCTGGGGGCACCAAACCCTGTTATTTCATTATGATGTTTTGGATTTCTGGGTCACGAATCCCAGAACCCCTGCGATTTCATGTGGATGTTTGCGATTTTTTGATGTTCAATCCTCCAGTCCTGGGGAGCCCCGTCGTCGTTTGTTGTTTTTTTCGTTGGGACTGAACATCCCCAAAATCTAAACATCCAAATGAAATCACAGGAGTTCTGGGATTCTTGACCCAGAAATCCCAAACATCCCAATGACATAACAGGGCTTGGTGCCCCCAGGTTTCGCAAACATTGTGATTTCACAGGGATGGCCGCTCCCTCGAGTCTCCCCCCCTCTCTCTCTCTTTCTCTCTCTCTCTCTCTGTCTCCAGTTCTGGGAGCGGAGGAAGGGATGCGAACGACAACGTATAAAGAAAAAAAAGAGAAGAAATGGGTGCTGGGGGGGCTGTCCATAAATGTATATATATATATATTCTAATACGCACCTCTCCGAGGGAGTAGAGCTCAGAGGCGATTAATGCGTCCGTCGTTCGCGATTGTTCTGGCCGTTTCGCTCGGGACATCCTCGAAATTCTGAAAATCTGTGGCACCCCTCACGCAGATCGTGACGTCAGGGTCCAAAAACACATAGGATTTCCAACATTTTATCATACAACCTTCAAAAACACGTGGTAATTTCAATGATTTTGACTCCGATTCTCAGAGAATGGCGGTTTCGCCTGAGACATCCTCCCAAAATCGAGCCCCAGACCCCTCCTCGGAGCCTCCTGGGGGCCTCCTGGAACCTCCTGGGGCCTCCTGGGGCTTTCTGGACCTTCTGGTACCCCAGACCCCGCCTCGGAGCCTCCTGGAGTTCTCCTGGGCCTGCTGAGGCCGCCTGGGGCCTCCTGGGGCCTTCAGAACTACATGCACACACAGAGACACAAATCACGCCCAACACATCACACGCTAGACAAACATAACATACACACACACACACACACCGACAACACGCAAAAAGCACGCACCACACAAAGCACACATCACACACACACACACACACTCACAATCCTGGGGCCTCCTGGAGCCTCTCCTGGTATCCAAGTCGGGCCTCCTGAGGCTTCCTGGGGGGCCCTGGTACACACATCGCAAGGTGTGGCAACCCCACTTGCGCTCGAGTGCGACTTCGCTGTTGCATGTCACTCCTGCTTCAAACGCCCCTTCAGCTTGTTGTATGAGCCTGGGCACACACGTGCCACTTGTATATATATATATATATATATGTGTATATGTATAGCCCGCTGAGCCCACCATGAACACCCCATTCCTCGAAAACTATATGAATTACTATAGTTCCCCTGCATTTTCGGAGTGCCCCGGCGGGACCCTCCGAGGAGGTCTCCCCCAAGCCGCTTCTACGCCTCATTTACATCATCACCATCATCATCATCATCATCATCATCATCATCACCATCATCATCTTGTGTAATCATCATCATCAGCATCACCATCACCATCACCGTCATCATCGCATCATCATCGCATCATCAGCACCCTCCATCTACTCCACTCCCTCCGTCTCCAACACACCACCCGGTACTCAACAGGCTCCCTCCCGAAGCTGTACTTGAAAATCCCATTCTACTCCACAGCCTCTGCCTACTCCACACCCTCCGTCTACTCCACTCCCTCCGTCTCCAACACACCACCTGGTACTTAACAGGCTCCCTCTCCAATTTGAGCTTGAAAAGCCCATTCTACTTCTCAGCCTCCGTCTACTCCACACCTTCCATCTACTCCACTCCCTCCGTTTCCAACACACCACCCGGTACTCAACAGGCTCCCTCCCCAAGCTGAACTTGAAAATCCCATTCTACTCCACAGCCTCCGTCTACTTCACACTCTCCGTCTACTCCACTCCCTCCGTCTCCAACACACCACCCGGTACTTAACAGGCTCCTTCCCTAAGCTGAGCTTGAAAATCCCATTCTCTTCCACAGCCTCCGTCTACTCCACACCCTCCGTCTACTCCACTCCCTCCGTCTCCAACACACCACGCGGTACTCAACAGGCTACTCCTCGACCTCCGTCTCCAACACAACGCCCGATATTCCACAGGCTATTCCTTACTTTCCGCACCCTCCGTCTCCACAACGTTGCCAGCGTACTCTCTCTCTCTCTCGTACGCTCACACACACACCTCACTCTCCTACACCCACACACACCAACGCAAAGACCCACACACCCTTCTTTCTTCTTGGACCTTCCAAGAGGAAAGGGGGTTCATGGTGGGTTCAGGGATCTCTATATATATATATATATATATATATATATGCATGTATGCATATGTGTATAAATAGGTATATGTCTGCACACATACATATATAGGCATAGATAGATGTGTGTATATATATATGTGACTCTATGCATACATAAGTGTATGTATATTTGTATAGATATACATGCATATAGAATGGCCTTTGGCCCATCCCGCCACAGTGCCTGGGTTGTGGGTTTGAAGCCTTTGTGATTTTCGTTGAGATCTCGTGGGGGGCCTCACGGGGGCCTCTAGAAGCCAGATTTGAAGCCTCTTGCGGGCGTTTGTTTGGAGTCTCTTTTGAACCTCTTGGAGGCCTCTTTCGAACCTCTTGGAGGCCTCTTTTGAACCTCTTGGGGGCCTCTTTTGAACCTCTCGAGGGCCTCTCGGGGCCTCCTGGGGGCCTCTCGGGGCGGAAGGCTCGGAGTTTCGGTTCGTGTTCTCTCCCTGGGGCCCCGTTAGAGGCCGTCTGGGCGCCTCTTGGGCCGTCTTGGGACGCTCTTAGGCCGTCTTTGCTTGGGGGCCTCCTGCGCCGTTTGAGGGTGTTCATGCGGGCCTCTTGGGGCGTCTTGGAGCGTCGGGAAGCCGCAAAGGCGAGAACGTCCAACTCCTTCAAAATCAACAAGGACAGTCTGTGATTGTTGCCTCCTGGGGCCCTCTTGGGAGGCCTCTTCGAGACCTCCGTGGCCGTCTTGGAGGCTTCTTTGCCCGTCTTCGGGCCATCCTGCGCGTCTTCGAGCGATCTTTGGGCGACTTGGGGCCCTCTCTGACCATTTTCGGTGCCTATTAACGCCATCTGGGCTCGTTTTGGAGCCCTCCTGGGTGGTGCAGGCCGACGCGAGCGAGTCCGGCAGACCTCAGGCCGGCTTGGCAGGCCCCGGGCCCCGGCCCGGAAAACGGCTGGTCCGGGCCCGTTGAGCATTACACAGCCCTCTCAGTGCTGCATGAGCCCTGGGGCACTCCACGTCTTGCCAGTGGCACGGTGGCGGAAGTATCTACAAATATACATGTATAAATACACATGTGGTTTCGTGTCTGTATATATATATATATGTGTACATACACACGTATATATATATATGTATATATGAATGTCTGGATATGTGTTTGTATGTGTATATATATACGTATATACACACAAGTATATCGAATCATTATATGTGTTTCCTGCTTCTCCATCACCTGTTGCTCATGGCAAAGCGTAGCCAGACTTCGGCCCGCGCGCATTCGTTGACCCTGCCCGGCGGGGCCTCGGCTGCGTCGCACCCCTGCGGCCTTACATCGCGACCTCAGGACAAGAACGGCGTTCCTCTGTCCACCGCCGTCTTCTGCCGGCTCATCGTCAAGAGCCTGAAGAGGCCGAGGGGCACGCAGAAGCGGATCACGATGCGCGATGTGCGCCATCCCCATCGCCGCCATGTTGATGTACTGTCCTCCACTTCCATCTTCACCTGTCCCTTCAACGTCGCCCTCCCTATCCCTCCCACCCCCTCTCTTTTTCCCCCTCCCCATACAGCCAAGACGGCCAAGACGTCGAAATACGTAATGAACACGTTGGGCGGAGGGGAGGCCCTGGTCGTCGGGCCGCTGCCTCGATCTAGGTTGGGGGGCATATTCGTTGCCGAGGCTCGCCGTGGCCAGAAAAGTCCAGTCGTCCCTTCTTTGGCATTCCTTATGGTAGCACGATAGTTGTGTGAAATGGGAAGGGGGGAATACTAAGTCACCCGCGGGGCCCACCTCTCACTATGCTCTGGTCGCGGGCTTCCGTCGAAGCGACGCGATCACCACCGTGTTCATCATACATCATACAGAAGCCGCTCGGCCAGGGCTTTGTTTTATGAGAGCTGCCGCGCGGCCCCCCGCGGCAGCCAGTAGTTGCCACCGCCGCGCGTAACACCTCTTCGGCATCGCATGTGTGGGGGTGGAAGCCCCATCTCAGAATCCTGATTCTTTCGGCTATGCACTTGGCGTTGGAGGGGATCCTGAGGGCAAGACTCTTTCTCGACTCCGTCTGCCTCGCCCGTTCTGCGAGGGAAGTGGCCGAGCACGGCATCCGGTCCGCGGAGGAGGCGAACTGGGTGGACGCGAACCCCTGGTGGTCTGCAGAGCAGAACAGGGAGGGCACGGGAAGGGGGCCTCTGCAGGGCCTTCCCGCCCGAAAGCCACGCGCGATGTGCCCCCATCTTCCTTACATATTTCTGTGTGTGTTCGTTCCCCTTCCCCCTCTTCCCCGACTCATCATCATCATCACCATCACCATCACCATCATCAGCATCAGCATCAGCAGCATCAGCATCAGCATCAGCATCAGCATCATCATCATCATCATCATCATCATCATCATCATCATCATCATCATCATCATCATCATCATCATCATCATCATCATAGTCATCATAGTCATCATCATGACCATTCTCTTATCTTTCCCTCCCTGTTCGCACCAGTGTCATCGTGATGCTGTTCCTCCGGCATCCACTGGCTCTCTCGCCCCTGCCTCCCCAGCTATCCGTTCGTCCCCCTCGCGCCGGCGGGGCCCCCCTTCACTCGGAGCGCCACAGGGGGGGGGGAGCAGCAGCACCGGCAGGCTGCCTTCTTTTGGGCGCCCCGCCCTGCCTTCCCGTCCCCCCCCGCGCACCCAGCCAGGCCCCCGACGGCGCGCTTTTTTGTTGGGACAGCGTGGACACCCGGAGGTCTCGAACCCCCTCCCCAGGCATACAGTCAAGACGCTGAAATAAGGAACAGTCTGGGTTCGGAAGGGGCTCGATGTTCCTTGGGTTCCTCCAGTGCTGTTCCTCTTGCCCTCCTGGGGCACGGAGGCGCTTACAGGGCCAAGAAGGGGCTTCGTTACTTATTTAGCGTTCCTTCTTTCAGCAGCCCGACTGTAGGGTCCATCATGAGGCCTTCTGTTGGCCGGTCCCAAGGGCCCAGGGAGGGCCACCAGGGGCCGAACAATTGCTGAACGGAAACATGCAAAAATACATGTTGCCACGGCGCCAGGGGATCTGGGCACTGAAGGGACTCGCGCATGGTAGTTCGCGCGCGTGGTTGCACGGCAGCGCCACCCTAAGCAACGGCGGGTGTCCGCCTCCTGCAGCAGATCGAGTCTAAGCAAGGGCCGCTGGCCCTCAGCCCCGAGGCACCAGTGTGGCCAGCCCAACCCGAGTTTCTTATTTCCCGTCTGGCGTCCTGAACAAAAACAAGGCGGCCAAGCTCGCACCATAACTTGGCATTGCTCGGACGTGGCGAGGACCAGCGAGGAGCATCCTGTATCATCGAGCTATAACAAATATCACGCACTACATCCAAGCATACACGGGATATGGAGGTCCGAGCGATGGCAAGATGAAGGACAGTGGTCCTGGGAGAAGAGTGGCCCCCGAAGTGTTGTCCCGCTCCCAGGGCCCCTGGGCCTTCCCCAGGCCCTGGGAGCGTGAGAATGGAAAGCCGGTCCCGGAAGCACAGCCTTGCGGACGAGGACCCGTTCCCATCAGGACCGTTTCGGGACTCGCGAGGGCCCGCCTTCGGCTAGAGGTTTGGTCCTCGCGCTAGAAGGGCCCTCGTGCTAGAAGCTTGGGCCTGGCGAAGGCCCGCCTTTGGGGGGCCTGAGACCCACATCGCGAAGGCCAAGCGAGAGCTGGGCCCCTCCCAACTATTGAGCAACATGTTGACGCCGGAGCTTCGTATCGGACGAAGGGTGGGGGGGTGCGGAGTCTATTGCACGCAGTTGGTCTCGGCCCCGCATCTGCGCGCTCCTCTCGTGGGTATCGGCGCAGTTGGTCATTGGCGCCCCCCTTCCTCGGGGGCCCTCGAGGGGTGCGATGCCCGCGCCGTGTGGTGAGTCAGCGGTGTTGGGATCTGGGTCGTCCTCCGAGAACATCGCGGGCGGTTGGGGCCCACAGGGTCCCAAAACCGCTCGGTGGCCCATCGCGAGGTCTTTTGGAGGATTCCTTCGAACGCAACTCCTGGAAGGTCAAATCCGGATTTTGCCCTGGTCCGAAATCCGCTTTCATCTCGCTTAATCTCGCCGAATCCGGTTTAATCCCGTTAATTCCGAGGCCTTATCCGGCGTAGCAGCCCCCCAATTGGGCTTAATTTTCATTAATCGTTCCGACGACGACCTTTCATCAGTAGTTGCCTCCTAAGATTCCGAGGTCACCGCACGGTCTGCCATCGTACCGCTTCGGGGCCCACACGTTTCGTCCGTCCCGAGAGGTCTGGTTGGGAATGTCGACCGTCTGCCTTGCGGCACATTGGTTAAGCTGCGCTTGCGGGCAATCGGTGGACTTCAGTTCGCAGTGGGTTCGCTTTAGATGCCCCTGGATGCCGACATTCGGCTGCATAATTCTTGACGCTGCGTGCATTCCCCCAAACAGTGTTTGTTTCCAAGAAGTCTACGTGGTGCAATCGATCTAGTGCGATTGAATTGTACAAACGAATTGACGCATTCCATGTTCGTGCAAACATCCTACCCACCCACCCGCAACCGTGTTTGCAAAATCCATGCGGCGGCGATTGATGGGTACTCGATGTTAGTTGGTGAATCTGTGCGGCCGCGCTAGCCCGCGCACGCTCGCGCGCGCAGCGGCCAGCTTAGTTTGGCGCGACCGACGCGGCCGCGTCGGCGCTGACCGCTGGGCACTTCCCAGCGGGCACTTCAGTGCGAGTCGGTGACTTGGGCGGGCGTGGTATCATGGCGACGCCGACGACGGTAGACACGATTATGAGAGTAGCGATGATGATGGTGACGATGGTGGCGATGACGACGGCAAAGCCAATGACGCCGATGTTGACCACGCACGCCGATAACGATGACGATGCCCTCGCGTCGGCGAAGAAAGTTTTCGAAGGAGTTCGGCATTTGCGCGCGGCCGACGCACGCGAGTGGCCCGAGTAGTATTGATTGACACGGATCGCCCCCCCCCCCCTTTTCCAGCACGCGCAAGGGCGTTTGAATGAATTCGAACGACTTCGAAAAAAAAAGCCTATTTGACAGAATTTGATGGACTTGTTGGACAATGGTCTTCGTAAGAACCCGCGAGACCGTGGGCGCAGGCTGCTTTGAACATTGATGTTGCAAAACCGTGTGCTGTGGTATGTGTGGGGAGTCGGGACAATCGTTTCTGACATCCGTGCGAAACCGAATGTGTGTTCACGGGTTTCGGCCAGCGCGCGACAACGAGCGCGTGTGCACGTCGCCTTATCTGTTGCACGGGATTCTTGCGACATCACGCGCACGAGGGCACGCGAACGATTCCGACATGCGCGCGCGAGAGGCCCGTATGGTAGCATTGTATAAGAATGTTGGAAGCCATGGTTTTCCCAACATTTCGCAAGAGCGCGGGCGCAGGCTTCTTTGAAAACCGATGTTGCGAAACCACGTGTTGTTTCATATGTTTCGTGATTCACGATTTTGAAGTTATTACGAAACGTTTGGCTTTTGAAGGGTTTCGGCATGCGCGTGCGACGACGCGCGCGTGCGCATTTCGTGCCAGGGGTTTTGGACAACTGATGACTGTTGATAAACGAGCGCGCGCATATTTTTTTGCAAAGGACGAGGGTGGGGAGGGGGCCGAAATCCGGCTTGGTTGGGATGATATGGATTCATGGTGAAATTGACGATGAGGCGAACAAATCGCATGTAAGTTGCAATACGAGACGGTGTCTTTTTTAGCCCCGGGTGGGAATCCCCAACTTGGTTTTAAAGACAGGAGAAAGTTGGTAGCGCAACGATGTGACATCGATGTAGTGTCATAGTTGTAGTGCAGTATGCGTGGTGCAACCGAGGTGGTGAAATTTCGTTGGTGCAAATATTGTAATGGCCTCCGGCCAGTGCCGCCGATTCGGGGGGCTGCGGATCCGGTGATCTTGGAGTCGTCGGGGACGCTACTTGGGAGGGAGAGCGCTCTTGGAGTCGTCGGGGACGCTTTTTGGACCTGGCGTGCCCTCTGGGGGAGTGCCTGAAACGGTCCCAGGGGGGGTCCCAGGGGAGGGTTCCAAGGGGAGGGTCCTGGGGGCTGTAGCAGCTAGATCTGAGAGGGGGTCTTGGGCCCCCCCGAAACATTTTGGAAATGCGCAAACCATTAAAAAAACGCCAGATGGGGGACCGCCTCCCCACCCCCCCCTCCTCCCCTTCCCCCGGAGGGGGTCTGGGGAGGGCTCCAGGGGGAGGAGAGTCCTGGGGGGGGGTCCTTGGCGCCCCCCGAAACATCTTGGGGATGCGCAAATCATTAAGAACGCCAGATTGAGGAGGGGAAAAAACACACAGACACAATTAATCGTCGATCCCCGGAAAAATATGGGAAAATATGGGAAGTGGGGGGGAAGACAAAAACCCAGAAGAAGATTGGAAAATATTTGGAATTATTTTATTTGCGTGTATTGATTTGTGTGTCCTTGGGCCCCTTTCACAGATGAAGGACCAGCCCCTCCCCTCCCCCCCTTCCCCGGCAGAGCCACCCCGGCGACCCCCCCGAAGCAGAGCTGAAGTTCCTTGCTTAGGCTCAGAGCTGAAGCTCTTGCTGAGGTTCCTTGTAGTTCACACGCCGGGTCGGCAGATTTTATGTTCGCAGTGAGTTTTCCACCCCATTGTTCGAGCAATCATCCCACCCACCCGCCCGCAACCTGGTTTGTTGGAATTGGCTGGTGCAACTCTGCGGCCGCGCACGCTCGCGCGCGCAGCGGCCAGATGGTTTGGCGCTGCCGCCGCGGTCGCGGTGGCGCTGACGGCTAGGCACTTCCCAGCGGGCATTTCAGTGCGACGCGGTGACTTGGGCGGACGTGGTACCATGACGACGCCGGCAACGGCAGACGCGATGATGATGGCAGCGATGTTGGTGTTGATGACAACGAAGGCGGCAAGGCCAGCGACGGCGCCAATGTTGATCACGCCGACGATTAAGTCGGGCCTGTCCCCCTACAGGGGGAGAGTTCAAAAATAGCTAAAACATAGTATGGGGACGATTTTTGACTATTTTCGACCAGTTTGGAGTATTTTTGGACTATGTTTTATTTTTTCGTCCTCAATCCCCCTGACGATGAAGGCGCCTCTTCGTCGGTGGTGAAGGTGTTGGAGGGAGTTCGACATAGGCGCGCGGCCGCCGTGCGGCGCCAGGAGCCCGTTTGACCGAACATGTGGAAAAAACCTATAGAACAATTCGCTGGAGCGCGAGAGCGGGCATTTTGGAAAACGGATGTTGCAAAGCCATGTGTTTTTATATATGTGTGTGTGTGTGTGTTCGTGACACTCGGTTTGGAAGGCCTTGCGATACCTGGGGCTGTCGAAGGATTTCGGCATTCGCGCGGCGGCGCGCGCGCATTTCGTCCCATCTGTTGCAAAGTTTTTGCAACATCACGCGCGCGGGGGCTTTCGAGCGATTCCGACATGCGCGCGCGAGAGACCCGTTTGGTAGCACGTTGTGAAAATTCTGGGTCCCGCAAGATCTTGCACGCAAAGTTTTATTAAAAGCTGAAATTGCGAAACTATGTATGTTTAATGTTTTCTTGGAATTCGTACGACACCTTCGGTTGTTGCAAGATTTCGGCATGCGCGCGCGACGGCGCGCGCGTGCGCACTTCGCCCCATGTGTTACCAAAATGTGCGCGCATAGTGTTTTTGGCAAAGGGCGACGCGGGGGATACAGGTTTAGCTGGGACGATGCGGCTTCACAGCTAGGATGGACGATGGGGCAACACCATGAAAGCAAACTGCAATACGAAAGGGGGGGTGACGGGGCGGTGATGGCGGCAGCGTGGCCGCCAGACCGCCACCCATGTCCAAACGACGAGCGGCGACGGGGCGGCGACAGCGGCAACATGCCGCCAGACCGCCACCCAGGCCCAGACGACAGGCGGCGACGGGTGAGCGACGGCGGAAACATAGTCGCCAGTTCGACGCACAGGCCCAGACGATGGGCGGCGACGGGGCGGTGGGGGCGGCAACATGGCCACCGGGCCGACGCACAGGACCAGCTGTTCAAAAGAGAAGCGAGAGACCCCGAAGTGCAGGCACTGTTTGGGGAACAGGGGAGTTGCCCTGATAAAGGGTGTGTAGCAGCATGCAGTCATGATCCAATGCCCTGGGGGCTTCTTGGAGGCATATTGGGGCATAGTATGGCCCTCTTGGAACCATCTTCTAGACGTTGGTGATGCCTCGGGTGCTTTCTTGGGGCCTCATTGGGCCATCCCCGTCGATTAATCTTTCGTGTAAGCGAGACATCGACAGGAAGCGAGAAGGGAACGATTGCGTTTGGTGCATTTGTGCCACGCGATGTTCGATTGGCACACGCAAGGTTGGCAGAGGCACACGATGCGACGATGTTGATTGGAGACCATCTGCATTTTCCGAACAACACCGTGCATGTTTTCAATATTGATGTGCGCAGTATGGCGCGTGGGCAGTTGGAGGCTAAGTTCACGTCAATGCTGCTTCGATTACCGCGAGAAGTTCTTCGTGACGGCACCTTCGAGGCAGTTTGAGTTCCTTTCTGCGTGACATTGCCAGTTGCACTTCGTTGTTCCATTTTGATTGATTGCACTGTCAGACGGCATACGCATACATTTCCAGGGGTTTCCAGTGGTCCGCGCGGATTCTTTGATCGCCGCTGGACCCTTCCACACCGGGGCGGCGCCTGAAGCGCCGCCGAGGGGGGGAGAAGGGTCCAGTGTCGACTCAAGAAATCCGCCAGGCACGTGTCAATGCTGGGCAAACTCCTGGCATCCCCTGCTTCCCTGCACTTCTGTTTCACGGTGCGGTGCCAGCTTTGTCGGGTGGAGGTTGCTACATACCCACTCTGCACCACCACCACCACTCTCGTGATCTTCTTGGCCACACAGCATGAAATAACCGTAAGCGCCGTGCACGTCTGATGGCCTTGCAAGCAATGCGCTCGGTCTTCGTGTTTCCGCACGCGGGCTCACCCCAACAACCCTCCGTATTTAGACGCATGGATGTTCAAGCGGCGTGCGTTTCTCCTTCGTTTGCCCTTGCCTGGATGCGTGCATGTCCAAGTCGCCCCGACGCATCAATGGGAACGGACCCTTATGCATGTGCCACCAAGTGCGCAGGAGAAGCTCGATTTCTTGTCGAAAGACTGGTTGTGTGCAGAGGAGGCGAAGAACGACGAGAAGCTCCTGGAGTGCGCAGGGGCAGTTCGCATTCACATCAGTTGTGCCGTGGAGCGGCAAACTGGTGGCATGGAGAGCACCTTCCGCCCGAGCACTCCCGCACCACCTCCCCAAACAGCGATGTGCACGAGTGAGCAGAACTCGATCTCCTTCTATTGTTCATCGTCGTCCTCCTCCTCCTCCTCCTCCACTGTTCTATTGCTGTTGCTTCTTCATTGTTGCTGCTTCTCGCCCTGCTCCTCTTGGGTCTTCTTTCTTCCCTTTTCCGGCCCTCCCTATTCACTCCTCCTCCTCGTCCAGTGCGGGACCAGCGAGGCGAAGGCCAGGGTAGCGATCAAGGGTTTGATGAGGCTCACCCGCCCAGATGCAGAGGCTGAGACGCGGGGTGGGCGTTGGGACTCCTCCTGCGGTGGCCTCCTCCGCTGCGGGGGCCTCTAGGGGCCACCCTCCGCGAAGTTGCGACCACGTGGGCGGCGCCTTGGAGCCGTCTGGGGCCGGCCTGTGGCCGCCCTTCTTGGGGTGGCTTTGGGCCCGCACCTGGGGGTCTTGGGGTGCCTTGGCGCCTTCCTCGGGCAACCCGGGAGGCCTCGCAGTCTTCTCCGAAGTTCGGAGGGCCCACAAGCAGACGGTGCGGTGACCACACCGTGTGGTGAGTCTATGGGCATCGGGGGTCACCGCACGGTTTGGGGACTCCGGTCGTTTTGCGAGGACGCCTCGGGCGAATTTGGGCCTCTCGGGTCCCAAAACCGTGCAGTCACGGACCGTGTAGTGAGGTCCTTGTGGACGACGTCACCATACGGCTTGTCACCGCAATGATTTGGGACCCCCTTGAAGGTCTCTGGGCCGGCACGAGTGATTCTCTGTTGACCAGCTGGGAGCCATAGAGAGTCGGCGGGGGAAAGCACGCTTGCAGGTGATTTGGCCATTTTGACGTTTTGGTCTCCTTTGAGATTTGCTGGAGACACTCCTGGCCTCCTCTATAGGCCCCACTGCATACTGGTAGGAACCTGTTCGGGGTCATCGAGCCATTTTGGTGTGCCTTGAACTACCTTCCGAGAGCGTTTAGATCATGTTGAAGTCTTCCTTCAGAAAGGGGTCGACGCTAGAGGTAGGGTGGCCAGCACACTACGCTCCCCAGTCAGTCAAGGAAGTCTATCTCTCGATTCCCAGAGTCTGGAGGCTCCAGCGCAGTGCAGCGGACGGACTTCGAAGAGCACCGCTCAGCTCCCTAAGCCTCGGTTCGAGAGCTGGCGTGTGATATAGTGAATGATGATTGGTTCGCTTGATTCCAGCGTGTGCTCCATCAGCGCGGGGGGAAGCAGTCCGTCGCGCGCACGATTCAGCATTTTGATTAAGTACCCGTCCTAAGCGACATGCGATCCAGGTGGCCCGTTGGGCCAGTGGAATGTTCGGAGTCGAGACGGTGGACGTCAATGGACGCACGAAAAGCAGGCGTGAAGCGAATGATCCCAAGGATTTGTGGGCGGAGCTGATGCCAAATCAACGAGCAAGATGGGATGAGGAGGAGGCACAGCAACAGCAACAGCAACAGCACCTGCCGAACATGTGGCCAAGTCATACGTGAGTTCCATCGGTCTGTCTTGGGTGCGGCAGCGAATGACAGGAGGAGTGAGCACGCGAGGGAGACCTATTCCTGCTCGTCGTGCTCGTCGTTCTCCTCCCTCTCTGGCGGCCCATGGCGGCGATGCATCCCTCACAGGCGCAGGAACGCAATAGCCGCTCCCGCTCGCCCGCGTGGCACCGCCATCAGCGGGAGCAGCGGGCCAGCGCCCGCCTCGAGACCCCGCGGGCGCAGGCTGGCATGGCGCGCAGGTGTCCTAGTGGTGACGGTGCTACAGGTCCTGAGCCTGGTCGAAAGGCGTTTCTGGGACCGAAAGAGCCGCACTGGCGATGCCATGGGTGCCATCCAGAATGTTTGTGGGCTAAGCGTGTGGTGTGCTTTTGTGGCAGTGACGCATGAGGACCAGTGGTACGCAAAGCACGGATGGCGCATCAAAAAAGTTGGCCACGAGAGGACCAGCGGCAGCAAGACCCAAACCCAGGCAAGTGAGCCACGCAGGATGCCGAGCCGATGCGCCACTAGAGCATGGCGAACATTGGATTTGGGGAGGCGAACCGTCGGGGGCAGCGGAACCGGTTCAGTTACAAAGTGGGCAACCAAAGAGGTCACCAACGACGGAGCTGGAGCGCCCGCGCCAGAAGGAAGTGCACCCGTGGATCTCAACACTGCCGACATCGACGGCAAGACCGCCTGCCTGGAGCAGACCATTCCCACCCTTCGCAAGAGCGGGGCCGACATGGACCAGTTTGGGCAAGATCTCGCTAAGCTCAATCAGCAGCGCATGGCCATCAGAGGGCCGCAGGCGGAGGTCACGTCTTTTGGAGCGAAGCTCGACAATGCCAGGGCGAAGCAGGCCCAGCTGGAGGCTGAGCAAGGAAAGCACAACGATGTATCGGAGGCCAACCGGCTCACCACAGAGGCTGAGAAGGCAGTTCAAGAGCAGGAGGCAGCCATGTCGACCGCCACCGTCAAAGTGGCGGCCGACGAAGGAGGCGATAATGCACCCATTCCCATGGACGAGGAAGACACATAACAGAACAGCAGAAGGCGCTCGAAGGCCTGGCGCAGCGCCCGGGCAGCGCTAAGAAGAGGCAGCGGCGCCTTTGACAAGCATGATCAGGCCAATGAGACCAACGCCGAGGGCGGCACGTGCGACGAGGAGAACGTTATTCCCAAAGGGCCCAATTCTGCCACGGCCAATGTCTCATCGTCGCGTCTGGAAGTGATATCTCGCCGTTATTGGATGTCGCCCTTGCATTAAAGCATTGCGCACAGTTTGTCCGGTAGATGACTCCTGGAGACGCGGCGGTGCTCGCGCAGTCTTGGAAAAGCAGTGGCACCATCCGCCCCGGCCGTCATCGAGCACGAGAAGATGCACGGAGGAGACGCAGCGCTGGCCAAGGAGCACAACGGCTTCTCGCGTGAGGCTCGGAGCAAAGTCCGCTGGCCAGGCAGAGCGCGCGCGGTGCGCGCTCGACTTCGGGGACTTGGCGCGGCCGCCATGCACCCTGCGCGCGCGGGGGAAGGTGTCGGCTCGAAGGGCGGCAACGTCGACATGCTCCACGCGCAGCGTGAGCACCAAGCTGGGCGCGGGCTACCATCGATGACGGGCCCCCAGCACGAGGGGCCCATGCGCACGCGCGCGCCAGGCGCCACTTGCCACAGGTCCAACGGCGCGCAATACATCAGGGACCGCTTCGTCATGGGCGATGGGGGGTGGGACCCGCGCTGCGCCAGCCAAACGCACGCCTGTTCGCTCGGGCCCGCGGCCCCCGACGTCGGGCGGTCGCTGCTCAAGCAGAAGATCGAGTGGCCGACGCTCGAGATGCCGCGCAGCATGCCGCGCGCCCCCGCCGCTTTGCCGAATGGGCCTCGCCAGGGGCGTTTTGGCGCGCGCGCCGCGCGGTCGCAGCGCCGCGCGGCGGCGCCCAACGCCTCGAGCGGCGGTGCAAGGGTCAGCAGATTGCCATTAATCGGGCGGGGGGGGGGGGGGGGGGGGGCGCCACGCACGACCCGCGCAGAAGAGTGCACAGGACTGCGCGCGCGACGGACAGCTGCCTCCGCGAGCGACACTGGCGGCGCGCCGCATGTCGGGGCGGCGCCGCCCGGGGCCCAGGGATTACGACTCGCCCCCGTAGCGCAAATATGATAAATTGCCGGCCTGACGGCACCTCGCCAAGAGCCACCAGACCCGGCGGGCGCCCAGCGCGAGCTGGACCAGATCTACCGCGACACCATCAGCGCGGAGAAACACGCATCTCGAGCAGGGACGCAGGCGGCGGGACAGGCGCGCGCCCATGCGCCAAGCACGGCAAGGATCGGCTTTCACGGCGTTTGGTCGAGGCGCCCAGGCCATGCGGCAGCGGGGCGGCCCCATCAACGCCAAGCAGGCCCCCCCGCGACGCCTGGGCCGCCGAAGGCAATGGCGAGGCGACGCCAAGGTGCGCCCTGACTTGGCTCGCGGGCCAGCCGCGGCAGGTCGGGCCTGACTATGCATCGCGCGAAGCAGATGAGCTGCAACGCTAATATGTACCAGCCCCGAGAGATACGGAGGGGGACTGCGAGGGGCCTCTAAGAGATTCCGAGCAGCCATGCAGCACGCAGGCAAGTTCAACACCGCGCATTTCAAGTTCGGTAGCTTCGACAGCTCGATATTCTGCCGCCTGCCCCGTCAACTCCTTTTGCGACCCCAACGCCAGGTCGGTCAGGCGCAACCTCCGACCGCCGTTTCGCAAGCAGTCCGATGACGTCGGCGACCGCGCAAGTGAACGGCGCGACGCCGACTGGCACTGCCACGAGCGGCGCTGGCACTATCATCGCGACCAGCGCGACCACGACCAGGAGGGCGAGCTCAATCAAGAATGGTGCACGCGCGAGAGCATGCAAACGCTGTTAGTGGACCCTTCTGCGCAAACGCTTTGGGTGGACACTTCTACGCAGGATCTCGAGCCAAACGCGCCTGGAAGTTCTGACTTCAAGGGCCCGGTGAACATGCAGCTGTCAGACACGGCGAGCGCCGACCAGCTCGCCGACTCCATGCCCGAGCAGCCCACATACCCCCGCAACGACCAGCTCGCCGGCCCCTGCGCCCACCAGCTCGCCGATTCCGGCGTCGACCAGCCCACCGACTCCCGCGCCGATCATCGCGCCGACTCCCGCGCCGACATTTGAGTGGCATGGGTAGCAGCAGGGGCGCGAGGACCATCAGTTGCCAAAGTGATCGTCTGAGAGGGGGCGTTGTGGCACTGGCGCTGCCACGTCCACCCCATGCAGCTCGATCAGCGGACTAGTCACGCGAGCTGTTTCTGCAGTCGGCGTTGCCGGTGAGGAGGACGGAGGAGCGATGTTGCGATTCTCTGCTGTGGATGCGTTCTGCATTGAGGCACCTGGCGCGCGCGCGGCAGAGAGGTGGCGCGAGAGTATACAATC